CTAGCAAATGCCTTTTTAAAGCTATGGGTACCATTACATTTCAGTACACTGCTACTAACTTAGAAACATTTTCTTATAAAATGTGGAGGATGAGATATACTGGTGAAAGCTTTAGCTAATACTGTGCAAAACAGGGGAAAAGCACCGTTTGTGCCATAGCAGCAAAAGAGAGCAAGCAAAGAAAGCATTTCATTTTGGACATAATGACTATGTGAAGTCTTTAGTTGTTTTGAAAATTGCTGGCTAGCTTTCATGTATTTTTTTTCATTGGTGCACAGTTGTTGGGTCAATGTATTTTACAGTTGTTTGGTTCGGTTTTTTGCATTTTCTGTACTCTGCTTTTTCAGCAGCAATGCCCAACAACCTACACTGATGGACCATCATGGATTAGAAACGTCATTAAAGAGGGGGAGAGGACCAGAGGGCTCTGTGATTGGAAAGGTAGAGAATGTGAGGGTTCTGATTCTCTTCAATTTGTCCCCAGACATACACTCATTTTCTCTGAAACATGTACATTTACTGTAAGTTAGTTTTTCTAATTAGAAAAACTTCTGCTATCTTTTGGAGTCCTTTACTGATATCACAGGACTGAGAAGTCAGAGATGTGTACCCAGAGGAACACAGTGCTAGATCACTCCCTGTGATTCTACTCATTCCCAAAAGGAATGCCCAGCTGCCTTGTCTGAAAGATTTTGTAAGCATGGAGTGGTCACCAAGAAACTTTTCTCACAGTCAGCAAAAAGAGAGGATTTAAGGGTTGTAGCCCTTACCTATCCATTCATTTTGACTTGTAGTCTTGGAAGAGGCCGTTCAAAAGCAAGGTCGCTATCTACAAGTTGAAGAAAGGACTATTCACCAATGGGACGAGTAAAAGATGTAATTAGAGTCATCATCTGGTTGAATGTGGCACCAAAATGTATGTCTGCAGGACTTAATAGCAAATGAAACATTTGTAGAAAGGGCCATCTTGAATTCCACTGGTGCTGGTACTGGGAGCAGCAGTGGAACTGGGGAAGGTGATGGAGCAGCCCCGGTGCTGGGGCAGGATGGGTCAGAGCAGGGAGGTGGCAGTGCTGAGCATACTTAAAGCTGTCAGGGGAGAAGGAGCAGGGATGAAAAACCTGTTCTGGAGTTTATTCTTCAGCTGGGAGGCATTGCTGAGGGGAGGGGAGTGTGCATGCCTTGCCATGCTGCTTTAACACCCCAGCTAAAACTGGGGCAGCGTTACCTCAGGCACAGTGTGTGGGCATCTGTGTGCAGCCACAAGAGAGCAGGACAAGGAAGCAGCAGAGAGAGAAACCCTTTCCCCTCTCCCCCCCATGAGGAAGAGACAGTGCTGCAAGCAGTCAAGAGGCACAAGAGCTAAGGATGGGGAGATAAAGGAAGCAGGGAGCCACTGAAAAAGCCCAGTGGCGATCCCACTGCCACCTGAAACCCCTGTCCTCTGCCAGGCTGCTTCACTAGTCTGTGCCACCCACTCATCTGCCCCTCCATGAGGTGCCGTGGCCAAAGCTGCCTCCCAGCAACAGAGTCATTAGTACATTTTTCAAAGAAGTTCAAAACCAAAACACAGCAAGAAAGTGGCAGTTTCTGTGCCAAGCGAACCTGAAAGGTTAGTTTACTCTTTAATGAAATTCTTGCTTCAAAGTCTCCATCTCTTTTTCACTGGGGAGCAACGCTTTCTTTAAGCAGTGTTTAGAGGACACCAGTCTGCAAGGGTAATCATCCTCGCCTCTGGCAGGAAGAGCTTCCACACCCGCATTTCTGAAAAGGCTCTCTTTGTGAATAATTGAATTTGTCTCTGGAGTTCAAGATTTCTTTTTCTGTGGGACTGACTGCAGCTCTGCTTCTTCCGTAGATGCAGCTTGTTGTAATTGAGGTAGAATTATTGGATTGCAGTGGAGGGTTTTGCGAACATGACGCATAATAGGGGTGATTGCCATGGAAAGAATCATTTGTAGGGCTCAAAATGCCTCCTCCAGTGTTGAACTGATCTGCAGAAAATAACTAGAGGACCCCCCCACTGCCACTCCCACCCAAAAGAAAAAAAATTCAAGTCACAGGAGACAGCAGAGGTGTTCTCGAGCAGTGAGCACAGCCTTGCTCTTAGTGCACAGCCAGGGCACACTCCCCAGGGGATGTTCAGAGCCTGTCCATTCCCTCCAGGGACCTACAAGGACCAGTCAGATCAACCGGTTGACCAGCCCAAAAGAAAATGTTGCAATTCACAAATCCCCTGACAATGTGTGTCTCTTGCCTGGGCAGAGCCTCTTTTCCTTTAAAGCCTCCCAGCCTTGCAGTGGTTTCTGTGTCTCTCCAGAAGGGCATGTGTAGCATGGTGGAAAAGCCTGTGCATCTTGACTCAGAGTAAAACATCCCTGCAGCTGCCCCACCAAGGAGAAGCTCCCTCCAGCTACCAGTGATGTCCACTGCTCCTGGGCATCTGTCAGTATCTCCTCTCATCCCCACCATCCATAACCTGGTGTGTAATGTCCCACCACCACACCTACCAAGCTGCCTGTGAGTAACTCTTCAGGAAAGGGGTGGAAAGAACCTTTCATAAGGGTTTGCATTGCTGTGAGCAGGACCTTGTGGCCTACTCCAGGGAAGAGGTGGGTCCCTGCCAGTAGCCTGAGATAAGTGGTATGTCTCAGAAGTATGGTTTTTCATGTCATACGCATAGACAGACCTTAGCTGTTCATGCCCATCAATGTCAGCAACAGGGTGAATTACTATTTCAGACTTTGGGCTTAAGATAGGAATTGGGGCAAAACACAGCTCTGAAGTGAATGAAAGTCTGTCAAGCTGGGAGGTTTCTTTCTTGTCAGTCTTTCATCACTAAGCTCAGCAGCAATGCTGGGTGGCTGCATTCAGCCAACACGATGCAGGAGTATATTTTTAGGATGTTATTTTTTTTTGGAGGGGAAGCAAATTCTAAGGCAAGATATAGCAATCTGGTAACTCAAAGAGTCTGCTCAGGGATTTCTGTGGCTATTGAATATAACCCACAGCACTTGGGCTGTCTTGTTGAATTGTGATGTATGTTTCAGATCAACAAAAAGGCTATTTGATATTTTCTTTTTTTTCCCCATGCTACACGAAATACGTTCTGTTGTGGTACAAATCTCACATGAACTGATCAGCAGGAGAAGCTAAGGTCACTTCATTCATTAATGAAAACCTAAATTCTAAACCGAAGTCTGATTTTCCTGGTCTTTAGTCTCTGAAGATAATTTCTAGTTATTTGTGGTTTCTGCTCTGAACTGGAAACCAGAATATATGCCTTTTTAATATTTTTTACTGCCTTCTGAGCCTGTCTATTACAATAGCTCGAATATTCTGTTCATCCTCAACTTCAGGACTTCTTGATCCTCTGAAAGAGGTCTTTCTTTTTCAGACTTCTGAGTGAAAAGCAGAGATTTCATCCCCAGAGAGAATTCCCTCAGCAGTAACCCAGGCATCCGGTGCATTTAGCCTAACTGCTTTTAATGCATTTCTTCAGGTAGGGGAGCAATTCAAACAGAAAGGGAACCATGCAGCAGCACTTCTCCTCCAAGACACATCTGGAGGCCTGACCATAGCCTGGCCAGCACGATCAACTCTTTCAGCTGGAGACACTAGCTTGCTTAGAAGTGCTACCAAAAGATTGCACGGGTCACAAATTAGATGTAGTTTGCATGTGGTAGTGCATAGAATAGGGAAGCAAGTAGTGAGCTCTTTCTTGTTTACTTTGAACTCTGTGCCCTGCTTGCTGGAGCTATGGGGAGATTCACAATCAGCAGAAGTAAAGGATCTGGAAGGAAATGGAAAACATTTGATAAGAAAGTTTCAGGTGGTGGCTGGCAGTTTCTATAGGCATTGACTGAGCAGCAGAGATTGGTGGTATAAAAGAAAAGGACCAACAAAGACCCTAGGCCCCCTAGAAATGCTTTAAGAAAGAAATATCAGGACTTGTATAGCCCAAGGATGAACCAGCAACCCAATGGATGACACTGATCTTGAAGAGAAGTGCCTGTTTAAGCAACTGTGTCAACCAGGCATCTCGTTTTCTCTGCCATGGTGTATGGAGTGTAATAGGCTCTTCCCAGAGACAAAGGGTGGGTTGTCCTCGGGCCCCCAGGGAGGGAGCCATTGGAGTTCCCAGACCCCTGCTCAGCTGTAGGTATCTCATCCCATTCCTAAATAAACACTCCTCTCATCCCTAGAAGAGCCAGCAGATAATATACATCCATATCTGTACATGAGGTATCCTGCCCTGCTCTTTTGAAGTGTGATAAGCAAGAACTCAGTTCTGTTTCTTTCTGAGAAGCTGCCAGCAGCAGGTCCAATTTGCATAAGACCTGTCGGCAATGAGATGCTTTGCTGACAAGTGTATGCCCAGTTTATGGAAATGCAGTATGCTTCAAGGACAATTCAGAAGGATTTACAGGTGACCTGCAATGAAGACAGGTCACAGGACAGGCAGGATCCACATGTCAACACCAAAGCTAGCACCAATTGATGTTGCCACGTGTGATGGTGTAGCTCTTCAGCCAGTATAAAATAATTAATAGTCTCCTTCTAAGGAAGAATGAAAAAAAAAACATTCATTCTGGAAAACTCTCAGTTCACTCTTTTAATTTAGGGGGTTTGTTATTTTGCAGTTTAATTAAAAGATAGGGAGTGTAGAGTGTGGAAATAGCGTATTTGAGCTATTTTGGAGTAACACGTGAAGAAAATGAAGCAGGAGAGGGGGGAAAGTCAGCTTTTTTGTACACTTTGTACCACATGTTCAACTTTAAACACCTTTTTCAAGAGAGTTTAACCCAATCAGCTTACTCTGAGCTTATCTAAAAAAAAACAAAGGGAGGAAAAAAATAAAAGAATACTCTTGAACATGGGCTTACAGTATAGGTGGTGTTTTCAACAAAAAGGTTTCACAAGATGTACTAATTGTATCACTCTGGCAGGAAACTGAGGCTTTCACATTTAATGAAGCGTTTCTTTGATGTCACGCTAAAATGCTGAGTGTGACTGTGCTGCACATCTGCCTGTCTGCACAGGGCAGACCGGTTCGACTTCCTTTTCTGAGACACTGCTGCAAGCAGGCCAAGAGAGCTACATCTTCACCAAAGCTTCATCAAACAAAGATGGAAAAAGGTTGGCTCTTCTCCCTCCTCTGCTTGTTCTTGGTGCCCAGCGTTACAGGTAAGTGTGTCAGCAGGACACCTTAAGTTCTTTATGAGGGAGGGGGCGAGAGGCAGGGTGACATGTGCAGGCTTATTGTGTCTGACTAGGGCGAGCTGTAGATACTGGTGACAATTTTCTGTTTCCTCTCAACTTTTTAATAACCCTAGTTGTAATGTGCAGCTCTTAAGGAGTAAATGGCTTCTGCTGACTAGTAGGTTATTCAAATCGTCTAGTCTGCTTTCACCAGGATAATCATAGAATCACTGAGATGAGCTCACCCTGTATTTAAGGTAACATGCTTGTCTCCGATGAGCAAAGAGGAAAACTGCTTTCAAAAAGCAAATTAAAAATACCTCTCTCTCTCTCTCACACGCACACAAACACACATACCTGTGTATGCAGAGAGAGGAAGAGTTGAAAAACTGAAAGGCAAGGATAAATTGTACAGTTGGAACCCCTTAAGTAGATTCTTCCCTTCCTCTTCCCCACCCTGCCTTTTGTGCTGTGTTAAAGGCTTGAGAAACAAGTTTGTCACTGGAAGTAAACTTTCAGAAAGCTTGAGTAAAGAGAATTGCATCCCTGACAGAGGGGTTTTAAACCAAAAACAATCTGAGAAAAAAAACAAGAAAAAGCCTGATCCACACAACCCCATCTACCCACCTCCCCAGTAGGCTGATCATGCTGAATGCAGGAGTACTTATTACCAGCTAGGAAGAAGAATTTTGTAGGATACGCCTTTTTCCAGTTAAGAAAGGAAAAGGTTCATGTATTTGACTGGCATAGTAAGATGCAACTCAAAATCTGGCATAGGCTGTTCCTATTTTCTATATCACTGAGGCAAACTGGATTTTAAAATAAAGGAAAATGTTTTATCGAGACATAGAATCATCAAGGTTGGAAAAGACCTTCAAGATCATCCACCCTGCAACCCCCAACCACTAAACCATCTCCCAAAACATCATGTCTACCTGGTTTTTTAACACCTCCAGGGATGACGCCTCCATTGGCTTCCTGGGCAGCCTGTTCCCATGCCTCACCACTCTGTAAAGAAAATTTTCCTAATAACCAATATGAACCTCCCCTGGCACAACTTGATCCTATTTCCTCTTGTCCTATCACTAGTCACTAGGGAGAAGAGGCCAATACCCACCTCACAATTACCCTTTCAGGTAGTTGTAGAGGGCAATGAGGTCTCCCCTCAGCCTCCTCTTCTCCAGGCTGAATAGCCCCAGCTCCCTCAGCCTCTCCTCACAAGACCTGTTCTCCAGACCCCTCTTCAGCCTAGTTACCCTTCTCTCCAGCACCTTCATGTCCTTCTTATACAGCAGTGCCCTAAATTGCATACAGGGCTCAAGGTGTGGCCTCACCAAGGCTGAGTATAGGGGCAGTATCACCTCCTTGGTCATGATGGTCCCATAGTATTCATAGAAAATACAAGTTCTCAAATGTGAAGAACTGGAAGCCTCAAGACACGCATGTGCCTGAAAGCAATAGTATTTAGGGAAATATAGGACAGTTGTGGATTTTTTCCCTGAGTCTGTACCTAAGAACATCTGCATTTCTGGGGTCCATCACATCCTTTTGAAAAAAAAGGGCCTTTTTGTGTTTGGCTCAGTGGGTGTGATTGATTACTTGTCATGCTACAACTCCCCCATCCATAAATTCTTCATCTCCTTGAGTTTGTCAGTACCCTGCATACAGGGGTTTGGGGATTGCAAGCCTCTTGCTCATAGGAGGGAGAAAGGGATATAAATCAATGTTACTACAGCAGCAGCAAAACCAAACGGTACAGGCTCGTGTTGAAAACCCCTTCATTTCGCTGGTCCATTACTCCTTTATATGGCACACTAAGGACTGCCAACATGCTTTATGAAATTAATTGAGGAAGAAACCATATATACTGGGGCAGCTCACTCTGACACTGAAATGGACACTTTTTCAGGTGCATGCAGGAGCTGTTTAATGGTGTGGAGGTAAAAGAGCAGCTTTCTCTGTTGAAGCAGTGAAGGGAATGGCAACATGCAGGGGGAACTGTGCAGGGCAGAATTAGCCAGCAGTGATAATTCACTTGTTCTTGCAAAAAGAGAACTGAGGAATAACTGGGCCCAGTTTCTGCTTTATTTGATCACTTGAAAGATTTTCATTTTCATGGAGGCCTTCAGAGGTCCCATTTCTTTCCCATGAGCACAAGGGCAGCTCCCCACCCTCTTCCAGACAAGAGCACTTTTGCTCTCCCAGTTCTCTCACCTCAGTCTGTGCTGATGGAGATCTGCTGCAAAGTTCCTTCCTGGAAAACCTATTGGTACTCTTGTAGGGTCTTCATTGTTGTCCATGGCTAATGCACCAAACCGTGTCAAAGATGGCTTCGGAGAAATCTTTGTTTAAGCATAACTCTCTCTGAAAATGGTCCCATTTATTTTTAAGGCCTGCATGAAGATGTCACTACGCAAAGAGAAGAGGTCCATGCTTTGCCAGGTGCTGACGTGACCCTGGTGTGCACCTTCCCAAAACCACACACCACCTACATAATACAAACACAGTGGTCCAAGATCGATGACAACCAGCTGACCAGAATAGCTGTTTATCACCCCGTTTTTGGCACCCATTACTTCAGCTTTCCTGAGGCTTCTTACAACTTTTCGGTGTCCTTCAGCACGAGGAAGTGCTGTGGCTGGAATGTTACAGAGGCTTTGTGTTCCTCCAATCCAAGCACCATGTCTGAATGCAGTCAGTGGGCTCTGCAGCTGAAAAATGTTACCATTTCCCTCAGCGGGCAATACGAGTGCAGTTTTGCTACTTACCCATATGGGACAAAGGCTGCAAAAATTCAACTTATTGTCAAACAAGACGGTAAGTGATTACAAATGAGATGTTGATTTTCTGTAACGAGCAGTGGGGGGAAGTATCAGGATAGAGGAATATCTTTTGTTCAGTGATGGTGACTTGTGTGGCATTTGCAATGGTGCTACTATCTACACAGTTTCCTATTTACCAGGCACTCTTTCATTCTTCTTATCTAGCTCACGATTAGGAAACTTTATTTGTTTGGAAGAGTATGAAATTACAAAGCGAAAAAAGGTGGTAAGATGGGCAGTTTCCACATTTTTGTTTAGGAGAAGTGTGCTGCAGAAAAGACTGGACAAGGTGGGACCAAGAATGCTGGATCTCCAAACCGTGCTGTGATGCTGCTGTGGGCACGCAGCACTGGGCACCACAAAGAGAAAACACCTTTGCTTGGGACTGAGAGCTGGCATCTGCAGGGCATGCTGGGTGTTAGCTCATTGGAAAGATGTGTGTTCCCACTGTTAAAAACAAACTGGAGCAAAGCAGGGAGTCATTTAGGATCACAGGAACAGAGACTTAGCTGTTTCTGTCAGCTGAAAGGAAGTTGAAAAGCAGCATGTCTGCTCTTGGTAGGCAAGCCTCAGGGGAGAGTGTGAACTCCAGGGAGGATGTTTGAATTATTCTGGCAAAAGAACAAATGGGTTTAAATATGATGTAAATGGATTTTACTACAAATTTTTAAACTGTGGCAGCCATCATTGCAGCAACTTTAGGAACAGCTGTTTAATGCCAGCAGTGAGGGCAAAAGTCCAAACTCCTGTGAAGATGGAGCTGGAAAGGGACGTTGGGCAAGCTTGTTGTGCACATGGGGGACTTGATTTGATAACCCCACAAACATCTTCATGATCCAGGTGTCTGTTAACAAGCCAAGAAGGATTAAAGTAAATGCCACAAATCTAGCACAGTTTCAGCTCAGAGCTGGAAAGCCAACATGCTTGCTCTGCTTGTGCCCAGGGTTGCAGATGCAGCACATGTCTAAGAGTCAGGAGCAGGGTCATGGGCACAGGTGATGTTAGAGGTAGCAGAGGGCAGCAGCGTTCCCACCTCCTCTTTGGCCTGTGTTGTGAGGCCAGGCAGGTGGCAGGAGGGAAGTTGTTCCCCGTGCTGGATGACCTTGGTCCTGCAGCAGGAGGGTGTCCTGTGCAATCCTCACACATGGCAACATTTAAGCCCAGCTGGTGCCTTGCTGCCTGATGGCCCCTGCATGGTGGTGGCTCCAAGCGCTTTGGTGCTGTTATCCCAGAGGCACAACTCAGGGACAACCCAGCAGCCCTTCCCTGCCCTGGTGAACTTACAAAAGTGAAATTAGAGCCAGGATCTCTGTGCAACCGATACAAGATGGATGTGTTTGAACAGTACATGTTGGATAACTGCCAAGGATGAAGCTGCCACTTTACCTGCTGCACAGGGGTGTGCTACAGTAGGCTTCCCTTTGGGAATTTTCCTGCTTTTCACAGGGCAGAGGGGCTGGATCAAGTGGAGAGTAGTGAGGTACATACAGAGCCGGTAACCATGTGAAACCCTCCGTGCTTCTGTTCTTCGTGCAGTTTTTCTCTGTCTCCTCCTTAATAGAGTAACAGTGCTAATCAGACATTGCTCCTTTTGCTGATGCCCTTGCATGATACTTCTGTGTTCAATGTCATTATTGTTGTATACAAGTTAAACGTGGGCAGCTCTTGCTCATTTCAGCATCACTGTGGGATTTTTTCAGCAACTGCATGATGTGTCAAGCTGTGCTACTGATAACTGCTTGCTAGAGAGAACAAAAAAAATTCTGTTTGCAACATTCGTCTTCTAGATTGGTATTTTAAGGTAACCAGATCTTTTGCAATGAACCACTTTAGCAAAAAGAAGGTGAAAGACCTTAATCCAGCCTATGAGTAGGATGGAGAAGGGTACTAGTCATTAATGGAGTACAGCTCCTAACTACATCAAGGTGAAGTGAATCCAGATGGATTCAACTTGTAGGTACTGCAAAAATCCCAGAGCAGCAGGCCTACATAGGGCTGGCAAACACAAACATCCTTAGTCAACAGGCTATTGACAGAGATGGGGACCAAAGATAAGGGGAAAATAAGCTGCTGGGACACATGACTGTGAAGCTGCTTGCATATTGAGCTCCTGGGGTGGCTACTCATCTTCATCCTTCTCGTGCCCTCTGTGACACTTTTGCATGGTAGCTTGTCCCAGCAAAGTTTCCTATGTAGTTTACTTCCTGAGCAGGCTATAGATTTGCTTCTTTTGGCCTTTTTTTGTCCTTTCCACACTCTCCAGAGAGCTTGTGCACTCTGTGATAGCTGGCTTCTCAGCTGCTTTTTCTGAGGGACAGTGGAGGTGAGATGTTTCTGCTGCTGGGTCTTCTGGGCATTACCCTGGGCATTACCCTTCTTTGTGTCCCTGTGGCACAGGCTGCATGGTGATACTGTCACTTTGTGCTTGGGTGCCAGACATAAAGGAAGTTACAGTCACCAGAAAGTCCCCACTGCCAAATAATGTAACAGTCTGAGACAGCTAGATATCCTACCTCACCTCGAGATGAAAAATAAATAAAACATGCAGCAATTCTGTCCTACCATGCAAGCCAGACCTAGCCAGGGGAGCAAAGTTCAGGAGTTTCCCCATGGTGTGGGCTCATGCCTGCCCCCAAGGAAGTCAGAAGGCAGGCTGCAGCAGGAAGACACTCACCAAGGAACTCTGTAGCATCTCCTGGCCATCACTGCTGTTCTTCCTGTTTAAATGCACACGTGGACACAATGCTGATGTTTGGACCACAGCTGGGCTCTGTTCAGTGCATTATTCTGCCTTTCCACAGCTGGACTGGAACCCTGGACTGGACATGGATAAGGGAGGAGATGCTGAAAAGCTTTTTTAAATGCATGACAAAGGAAAGTCTGACAGGTTGCCTGCTTCTGGTAGTGGGCAGATTGGAGAATAACAAAAGGAGCACTTAACCTGAAAACCAGAATTAATGTTAACCTGCCCTACTTGCTGAACACATTGTTTAGAGAAAAGAAGGTCTGCAGATGCCCTCAGGGAAAAGGAAATGCAGGTGCAGAAAATTGATGTGAAGGTTTATTGCTGCAGAAAAAAAAATAAATAAATTGAGAAATTGAAGCTTCCAATTATTCTCAGCTCCAAAAGGAGGCATCTTGATGCTGCAGTTAAGCAAAGGTTTTTATTAACTGCCCAATAACTCAGGTAAAACCGTGAATGAAAGTCATGAAACTGCATCTGGAATCAGATGCAGGGCTTTCACTTGACAAATCTGTTTATGGGTAATTCTGGAAAATTACACTTCTCTTCCAATCAAAAAAGTGCCAGTTCCTTGAACAGAAGAAAGACTAGTCATCATTGGTTTTTAAAGCATAATAAACACAATGTTTCTGATTTTCCTTCTTGGGCTTTTTTTGGTTACTGTTATTGCAATGGCAAAAGAGGAGCAGCACTACATGAAGGAAGTACAGCTAAACCAGACTTTAGAAATTCCATGCATTGAGGACACCGCTTCAGAAAATTTGTCCAATTATCCTTTGAAATGGCTAGTGGTAAGTATTTTTCCTCTCAGGTATAAATTTCAGGGGGAACCACAGGGTATTTTTGCAGATTGAAATAGAAATGGTAGACTTTACTGCTCTCACAGAATCTGCTAAACAAAAGGTATCAGCTGTGTTGGACTGTAATAATAAAGGGGAAAAGTACTAACATGGTTTTACAACACAGACTCCACAATCAATAGCTGTTAAAGAAATAAAGAGAGAAAATTCCATCTTAATTGCTTTTAATTTTTTCAAGAGTACACACAGAGCAGATTCATGGAAAACAGCAAAGAACTTAGCAAATATAACAGAATTTAAATATTCCTTGCACTGGATTTTTCAGGGATTTTTACTGTAGTGAAACTTCAGTATCTCTAAAAAATTCATGGCTACCGCACAGGGTATTGAGATATCAGATCTTTAAAATAGAAGGCAGAAAAATTTTTTAAATTTTTTTTTTAAAAAGGAGGCTGACTGTAATACTTTTGTTTCTGTTAACCTCAGTGTCACAGATTCTCTCCGAAGATGTGTGAACCCAGTTAGGTAGCTAACCACACAGAAACTATTTTTAAGCAATTTGCTGTGAGATACAAAGCTCATTATAGTTCTGTACTGCATGTCACTTTCTGGAGAAATATTTGTATGCATGCTTCAATGTAACCTTTTAGCATTCATTTCAGTATGTAAAGTATTAGCCAGCAGTGGCTTTGAGCTTTGCCTGTTGATTTTCACCTGTTGTCACTGAGGAACTGTAATGGTTGTGGGTTTTCTTAAAGGTAATTTTCAAATATTTTAGGTTTTTCAGTCTTTCGTCCCAGCTCATTATCTATTTAGATCTCCCCTTTGTAGTACATTTCTAATATTAAAATTCTTAAAATGTTTGTAAGGAACGTCCTTGTGCCTACTAATTTTTAGTGGTGTTAGTTCACTCTAAAAGAAGCAGAAGAAGAAAAAGAAAATGAAGGTCAACACAATACTGTATGTGGGTCACCATACATCATTCATAGCACAGCTTGCAAATATGTACCAGGGCACAGATGGCCAGGATGTGCCAAGCTGCACCTATATCTAAGTGTGGCCGGCACACAGGCACTAAGAGGAGATTACTTTTAACTGTTATTGTTGTGTTCTTACTATTTAAAATCTAAAAAAACAATTATTTTCTTGGAATTTCAGTCCTATTTAATGGCATGGCATTTTCAGCATAACTTAAAGATTGCTGCAGTGGGAAAGCAGCTCTGTTGCCCTCTCTGAAGGCCACAGAGACCAGGAGTCACAAGTCACAGCTATTTACTCCATAGTTTATTGGTAAGATGATGACCACCATTGGTGTTGAAGTTCTGGGAGAGAAAATATTTGAGCAAAAATAGATGTTGCAAATGTCCACTTGTTACTATGCAATGCTAGGGGTGCAAAGGAGTATTTTCATAGTGAGAGTAGAGCTGGTCTACAAATAATTTTATTTTATTGGGGGAGGGGGCGGGTCTGGTCTTCACCCAATGTGTGAGTTGCTCTTTTCACAGGAGGAAAATGGCAGGACAGAGGAACTTGTGACCAAGGAGCCCTCCTGTCCTGCAGTATACAGGAATGGCAGTGTGCTGTATGGGCAAAGAGTCCACCTGGGTTTGAAAAACACTCTAGTGATTTTCCCCACCAAAATCACTGATGATGGCAGGGTGTTTTCCTGCCATGTGGTGTACCACTCAGAGAGAGTCCAGAAGAGCAGAACCACCGTGAGAGTATTTGGTAAGGGACTTAAGCCAAATGCCTGCTTAATTGCACTTGGAAAAGTAACATGCCTGTCTGGTTATGAAGGTAATAGCTTTTGAAATACACTGGAGGTTTTTATATATACATATTTACTTTTTTTTTTTCTTTTTTCCAGCTAGAATGAGTTAAAATATTAGTAAATAACCCCCATAGCTCTTAGGAAGAATTTGAAACCATTGCTTCAATTTTTGGCACCAAAAATAGATCCGTTGTGCATATATCAACACCACTGGCATGCACATTGCCCCTATCTCACCCAAATACATACGCTCATCTTGGCACTTTACGGTTTGCAGGTAAGCAGCTTGGTCATCAAGATCTTTGTGCCCCAAATGACCATAACAAAATGACCACGCTGCCTGTGGTTAGGAAAAACATCAAAAATTTGCTTAGCAGCTAAAGTAGTTTGGAAGCACTGTCATTGCAAAATTGCATCTTCAAAGGCCTGTGGTGTTCAACTGTGGCCAAAGGCTCTGGTTCTGAAAAATGAGGTCCTGCCTGGAGGTCTCTAACTGGTCAGGCGTGGTAGGGCCCATGTGCCGCAAACGTGTGTGCAGGCATTTCATGCTGGAAGCCTTCCCCATCCTTTGTTGCTTACTCTGTTCCCTTTCTAATGGCTTAGGAACTACTCTGCAATCTCTGAGCTACAGCTGAATCAGAAAAACGCTGCTCACTGAAAACTGGGCTGGGTTTTCTGCTTCTAGAGCAGTGGGTCTGGGAAATGTACCTCCAATGCTCCTAAAAGGAATCGGTGTTAAACATTGGGTCTGTCAACAGTCCCTTTACTGCAGCTCCTTGCCCAAGGAAGCCTGCAGCTCATGGACAGCATGGGCACACAAAGCTGATATTTTGAATGCAAAGAAAGGCTCAGTAGGGAGCAGAAAAAAAACCAACAAAACAAAACAGGGAAAACCTGTCTCTAGGGGCTGCTGGTCCCTGATGCAAGAGAAATAAAAATAGAAGTTAACAACCTGAAATTTCCTCTTATGTTTGCACGATTCAGATATTAATCTTTTAAAAATCAATATTTGTCAAATAGTTACAGTGTTACCTAGGTAATAGTTCTAGTATGCTAACTTACTTGAACTCTCCCTCCACTCCATCCCTGCTGGTGATCTCGCCTTGGTCTGTCTATCTGTCAGCCTAAGGGGTTATTTATTTGGCTTATTCTCTGAATTACTCTCTCACATGTGGTTGACACGGCAGAATATTGGTGCAAGAGAGGAGAGAGGCAAACAAGAGGAATCAACCATGACCCTTGGTGGTGAACAGTCTGTGATGCTCCCAGTGAGTGGTAGCTGGCTTTGGACTGGGGTGCTGTGTCGTCAGCCTTTCTCACGTGTCCCGAGGGCAGGGTTAAGTGGAAGGGCTCCCTGAGAGCTGGTTTTTGGTGGGTGTTGAGGAAGGTCTATCAGACCTCAGGCCAACAGTATCCAGATCTTGGAGGAAGTGCATTTTTGTGTCCTTAGCCCTTTCATGCCCAGTATTTTGCAGGTAAAATAACTGTTTCACATGCTATGTCACCTTTCCTGTTACCGTTTTCTGAAGTTATGCTGCTTATGATTGCATCATACTGGCTCTTCTCCATTTAGCTTTTTTGTGCTGCAGCAGGAGGGAAAACCAAGAGCCAATGTCCCAGAGCCACCCCTGCACCACTTCACACACCCATGCACTGGCAGGGCAGGAGCTGGCACAGGTAGAGACAATAGCCAGAACAATCCAACAATATCCACTTGGCATTTGGGGACAGCCACTTCAGATGACAGTACCTGTTTTGTTCCTTATGCTAAAGCTGACCAGGGAATGAAGCAATGAACATTTATGTCCTAGCAGGTAGACCCAATCTCAAATGGCCATTGCAGGATCTAAAGCATGGTTATAAGACTATACAATGTCAACAGTACTTTATACTGGTTATATCTGTCATTCTGGCCATTAGAAATGGCATACCTAGAGAACCAAGGCAAAAAGAAACCTGGGAAGTTGTGGATGCCCCATCCTGGGAAGTGTTCAAGGCCTGATTGGACAGGACTTTGAGCAACCTGATCTAGTGGGAGGTGTCCCTGCCCATGAATGGGGGTTGGAAATAGATTATCTTTAAGGTCTTGTCCAACCCAAACCAATACTGTGATTCTGTGAAGATTTTCCCTTCTCAACAAGCCAGCAGTGCCCCTGTCACCCAAACACTCATGCACTTGAACCCCACAGGCCGAGTTGTGTGAAAGCAAGGCAGGGAGGGCAGGCAGCTAGTGCACCACTGTGCTGTGATGGGTGGGAGGGGGAAGAGGAGGAAGAGAAGGAGAAAGAGAGGAAGTTACTGTTACCTGGGGAAAAACTCCTTGTGCAGGATTCCTCCAACAAACACTTTAGGGCTAGACTGAGCAGAGACAGCCCAAGACTGGAGGGTGGCTGTGATGCTTCTACACAGATGCATGAGGTGGCCTCGGCGTGAGTGAGAGCTGGGCAGGAGAGGATGAGAAAAGGATGAGCAAGTATCCCAATGAAGTTGAGAGTATTGATAGGCTGAGTAAAAACAGGCATTCCCTCAAGAGACCGTTTTTTAAGAGGGAACTTTTGGACTGGAATACTTTAAAATATTTCTTTCCTAGAACAGAATTATTTTAGATACAAGTTTCTGAGAAAATATATAGCTTTTTCCCATCTAACTTTGCCAAATATTGATTTCACCTCTTATAAGAGGAAAAGAGCAGCAGCAGAAACTACTATACTAAACACTGAATTTCTGCTAGACCCAAACCATCGGTAAATATCCTAGCAAGACAAATGAATGTCAAACTGTTAACAGGGGCTGAGTTGTTAAATGGAAAAGATGTATCAGATCATTTGAAACTGTGTTTGAGAGCTGCCTGCCAGAACAGTTACCCAGCAAAAGCATGCCTTCTGAGAAAGCAGAAGATAGCATCTGATACAGTTGTGGAAAAAGATACTAATTTTCATCAAAAAGCAACAGGAAGAGTGGGGACTAGATTAGATGTTATTTGGTCTCCCAGCAAACTCTCAGCTAAGATTAGATGATCCAGTTTAACAAATGTTTTCTTAAATACGAAAAATATGGTTGTCTTCTGCCAGCCCCACTACCATCTATGCAGTTTTGGCAAAGCAGAAACTAGAACAAAATCTTAAGACATTTTGATAGAAAGAATACACAAAAAAGCAAACAAACGAACCAACCAAACAAGAAAAAAAAACAAACACAAAAAACCAAAACAAACAAAAAAAAGCCCCCAAAACTCAGAAGGAAAAAAAAAAAGTACCAAAAATACAGAAAACCATAAGACCATGATAATTAAATATAGGTCACTCCAAGGCGTAATCTATCTGTAACACTAGAGCTGACCCTATATTACTTTACAGGGTTATGGCGGGGGAGGGTTAGGGGGTGGGAGTTGAAGAAAAAAAATTGTAAGGAAAGGAGAGGAGAGGAGAGGAATTTATCTTAATGGTAGAGATTAAAGTGTGATTTAGTTTGGAAAGAGAAAGTATTACAGATCTTTTAAGTAATCTAGGGGCTGTCCTTGTGTCCAGCCCAGTTTTAAGGTTCAGAAGCACAACGTACCCAAGGTTTTTGAGAATTGCTCACTATTAGGACAGTTTCAACAGTCCTTACTTAAAAGGTCGGTTAATACTGCCACAAACCAGTGATCCCAGTGGCTGATTTAGAAATGCCAACTTAGAAGGGTTTATGGTACTTGATAGCTTTTATCTATAGAGTTGGCTGCACTTAGAATCAAAATGCTGTGAAAACAAAAGAAAACACCTTCCATTTCTTGTGGATGTGTTCACCAGAGACACACCACTCTGATGTGAGCTCTGGTCTTTCTGGCAAGGCAGGAAACATTTGTGGTGTGACACTGTCACACATTTGCTCAGGCAACAGCATGTCAATAGCTGGTACCCAAAATCAATCAGTGTTTTAGGGAATGGCTGAAACCTTTGTAGATTACTTTGACTGGCAGACACCTGGAGGAATCAACAGTTAGGGAGTGTTTTATTTCAGCACTCCCTGGAAGGGTAGCTCTGCTGTTGGAGCTACAACTATGGGACGGTTTCAGCTTGTTTCTCCAGCAAAGCCACTCAAGAGTACTTTAGATAAACAGGGGATCTTGTGGTAGCAGGTGCTGATAGATGCTTGTAAACCACTTCCTTGTCCTCAAATAGAAGCCATGAAAGCTTTTATTTTGCTAGCTGTGTGGATGGATGTAGGATCTAATTTCCCCTCTTTTTACAAAACAGGGCTATTATGTCTTATTAGAAACTGTTACTGTGGTCTTCAGTATCCATTTCAGTAATACATTTCTGTTTGCTTTCCAGCCTACCCTGAGATCTCTGTTAGCTTGCAGGAGGGCTCAGCTGGCACCACACAGAAGGTGAGCAATTTTGAAGCAAACACGAATAATACTTGTGACAGCCACGGTGACACCTCAGCAGGGCCAGACAAGCTAAACTGCTTCAGACCTACGTGGGACCTCCAAAATTATCAAACTCACAGGGTGACGAGCAGGTTGATGAGCTAATAGCAGCCATTTGTGCCCCTTCTTCTGAGTAATTCCATCCCAGCAGCAGTAAACTGGCTCAGCAGCTACAAACTGGAGCTAACTAAGGGCTTCTCCATGTTATTCACAAAATCCAGCTTTGTGTTAGCTCTAGGGAAGGCTCCAGGACAGGATCAGAAGAAGGAACACTCTCTGCTGGGTTAGAAGCTGGCTGGCTGGCCAAGCCCAGAGAGTTGTGGTGAATGGAGTTGGATGCAGCTGGTCCCAGTGGTGTCCCCCAGGTCTCATTTTTGGGTTCAGTCCCATTCAATATCTTTATTAATGACCTAGATGAGGAGATTGAGTGCTTCCTAAGTAAGTTTGCAGATTACACTAAGCTGGGAGGAAGTGTCACCTTGCTTGAGGGTAGGAAGGCTCTGCAGAGAGACCTGGACAGATTGGACCAAAGGGCTGAGGCCAATTGTATGAGGCTTAACAAGACCAAGTGCTGGGTCTTGCATTTGGGTCAAAACAACCCCATGCAAAGCTACAGGCTTGGGGTTGAGTGGTTGGAAAGCTCCATGGTGGTGAAGGACCTGGGGGTGCTGGCTGACAACTGACTTAACATGAGCCAGCAGTGTGCCCAGGTGGCCAAGAAGGCCAACAGCATCCTGGCCTGCATTAGGAATAGCGTGGCCAGCAAGAGTAGAGAGGTAATTGTGCCCCTGTACTCAGCACTGCTGAAGCCACACCTTGAGTACTGTGTGCAGTTCTGGGCCTCTCACTTCAGGAAGAATGTAGAGCTGCTGGTGTGTGTCCAAAGGAGAGTTACCAAGCTGGTGAAAGGTCTGGAGAATAAGCCCTCTTGAGGAGAGGCTGAGGGAACTGGGATTGTCTAGTTAGAGAAGAGGAGGCTGAGGAGAGACATTATTGCTCTCTACAACTACCTGAAAAGAAGTTGTAGGGAGGCAGGAGCTGCCTTTTCCATCAGGTGAATAATGACAGAACCAGAGGAAATTGGCCTGAAGTTGCACCAAGGGAGGTTTAGATTGGATATCTTGAGGAGAGGCTGAGGGAACTGGGATTGTCTAGTTAGAGAAGAGGAGGCTGAGGAGAGACATTATTGCTCTCTACAACTACCTGAAAAGAAGTTGTAGGGAGGCAGGAGCTGCCTTTTCCATCAGGTGAATAATGACAGAACCAGAGGAAATTGGCCTGAAGTTGCACCAAGGGAGGTTTAGATTGGATATTAGAAAGAATTTCTTTACTGAAAGAGTGATTAGACAGTGGAACAAACTGCCCAGGGAGGTAGTGGAGTCACCATCCCTGGAAGTGTTTAAGAGAAATATAGATAGAATGTTTAGCAACATGATTTAAGCACTGATTGGGTAGCTTAATTTATGGTAGGGGGATTTAGGTTATGGTTGGACTATGGACTATGGATGATCTTCTGAGACGATTCTGTCCAGGGTTAGGACTCTAGCATTAAAGACTAAGGTTTAAGGGTGTAGGTGTAAACATCCAGATTATATGGTCTAAGGTTAAGGATCTACTGTTACAGGTCTATGGTTAAACATCGAGGGTAAATGATCTAGCTGATGTGGTGGTGTTAGGTCATAGGCTGGACTTGATGATCTCAAAGGTCTTTTCCAGCTTTGGCAATTCTGTGATTCTGTGAGGAGCTGTGAGGAGCTGATGGTGTTGCAGAGGGCTCCCTTCCCCATCTGCTAGCATCTTCCCCATCTCTTTCCTCTATCACCCAGCAGCTTTGAGCTGCCCTCTCCACACTGCTTAAAATCCTCCTCTGAAGGAGTTCACCCACTGCCCAGGATGCTGCTTTGAGGGGCCAGGCAGTGGCAGCTCCTGCCTGCCACACAGCTCCCCTGGGAACAGGGAGGAGCAGGTGTTGTAGGGGCAGTGAGCAAGGCACTGACATGGACTACTGTGTCAATGGAAAGGTGATGATTGTGCCATGATGCAAGCAGAACTCTGCTGGAGCAATCAGATACTGATGGAGTGACTGGACCAAGGTCTGAGAGGCCCTGTTTAGAGCTGAGTTACACATGTGTTTGAGGGTCTCTGCTTGGTAATGGCAAAACCTAAAGGTCTGCTGTACAACACATACTTGATATGAAATAAATCTGTGGCAGTATGACTGACCAGCAAGACACTCTGGCAGCTAGCTGTGGCATTCTACTTCCTGTTGCATTCATCCATCCAGGCTGAAGCTTTTGATCTGTGAGCATCCCAAATCAAGAAAGTTTTCCTTGGAAAGAGCACTTGTAGGCAAACAAAACCCTGTATTACGCATAACCACCTGCTTCAGACAAATCACAATTTAGTTCATTCTGCAAAACTGGTATAATTTTCCTGGAGATGTATTTCTGGGTGTGATGTTGGACTTTGCAGGCTTTTATTTGCACCGTCCTGTTGAGCAGAGCAAGGTGTGCTATTATCATGACACTCTGCAACTGAAGTTATTCCAAGAGCCTCTGTCCATTCTTCACCTCCAAACAAACACTGACTACTGTCCTTATCTTTCCTGCCCTTTCTTAAATATACTTTGGATATCAGATTTGTATTTCTTCTTAGGAAACATTTATAAAAGTATTAGAAACTAGAAGTGCCTGAAGAACTGAGGGAATAATGAAGAGAAAAGAGAGGAAAGCAATTCCACTACGAGTTCAGAGGTTACTTACCATGGCAAAAAAAAAGGAGTCTCAGCTGGGTAGTTTCAGTCTTCACTCTGAATGATTGACTTCTGCTGGCTGCAATGCATCAAACTTGCTTTCAACTAAATGTGAGAACCCCTTTCTTCAAAAGTGGGAGCAAGAGGGCTTTGTGTTGCTTCTGTAGTACATGCTTTTTTCACATTTTTTTTTTCTTTGTTTAAATGGGCAAGGCAATTTCTCTTAATGCCATAAACTGCTAAGTACATGTAATTTGGAACGTCCAGGCAGCATGAGGATGAGAGCCCCCACTCTGCTAGTGGTCAACCCTTCATCCACCCTTGAGTTTGAGGTCTCTTCCATCTATTGCTTGATGAGAAACTGAATTGAGCACAAACAGATATTTTGGAGAAACTGGCATACTGCCAGAACTACCATATCTAAAGTATGCAATCCCTTGTAAGTTTTGACAACTTCGTATGTCTTGTGCCCTCTACAAAGGTATCTAATTTTGTTTATTCAACATATAATTGTGCTGGGCAGTCTTTTTCGTGGGATTTGTCTCTTTATCTGCCTAACAAAGGGAGGATTTACAAGGCAATCAGGTGTCTCATTCTCTGTGCACACACTGTGTCCATTCCTGGTTCTAGTGCATCTTCGTGTGGATGTTTGTCACTATGGCACTGGGCTGGGTGTCACCCTACGTCTCTCCAACCACAGCACAGGACTGGAGGGTGCTGGAGCCCCATAAGCCCCCACCCAGCCCAGGGTTATGGGGATGTCCCTGGGCTCCCATTCAACAGTGTCTGCAACCAGAAAAATGGCAGGGGGGTGGAAAGAAACACAATAAAGGGGAAGCAAGTGCTTCCTTCCCAAGCAGGATAGTGAGTAAACAAGCTCTGTTCAGAAGGGATTTTGGAAGTAGACAGCCAGGTGAGAAGTGACAGAGGCTAATGACTGGCTTTTTCTGCCCCACAGCATAACGTGAGCTGTGTCGTGAGGAAGGCATTTCCCAAGCCAAGCCTTGTGTGGTATGTGGATGGAGTGAGCCTGATGGAGCAGCCTGGAGGTAACACAACCTGTCCATAGGGTGATGACGCAGCCGTAGAAGGGTCTCCCAAGACAAGTGATGGTTGCTCCTCTGCTCCTGGCACAGGGAGCCTGTTGATGATTGTCTAAGTGAAGGGGAGAGTGTGAGATCTCCTCAAAGGGATCAGCTGCAAACAGTCAATGCTGCAAACAATGGTTTGGCATAACCTCATTGTTCTTGCAAAATCTTTGATAGTGTCTCAGCAAAGAAACCTGCAGCTATTTCAGCTTGCTTTTCAGTACCAATATTTTGCATAGCTCTCATTTATAGTTTGGAGTGTAATGAGAAAGTCTTGCAGCTTTTCTTTTTTGTCTTTCCTCAAGAAATTTCTGTTGAACAAGATGACTTGCAAGACAGTGAAGGTTTCTATCAGCTGAGATCAATGCTAATGCTTCAAGGGACCCACCAGAAACATAAGACGTTCTCCTGTGTGTGTCTGTTTTCCTTCCTTGGGAATGAAACGTGGAATATTTCATCAGAAATACTTGTTTCCTTTGGTACGTTTTTCACAGATAAGACACATCTGAAATGTAAACCATTAAGAACACTGAACACATGTATTCTCTATTATTTAAAATACTGAATACCAAGAATATGGAAGCGTTATTGTATAAGTTCACCCCACAGCTTGAACTTTCAGACAGGTTTTTTAGCATAGGTCTTTGCTCAAGCCTTTAAATGAACTAAGAAACTCCTGCAGAAACATAAGATGCTTGCTGTTTGTTTCAGTAGTATCTTGCTGCACTTCCCACACCCAAAAATACACTAACTTAGCCACATGGTACCAGTGAGTTGTTATAATCATGTGTTTCTCACAGAGCACTCCTGGCAGTAAGTCTGTGCGTAATGCAGCTCTCTGGAAAATCAAACCCTCAGAGTCAGGACTATGTTGTACATCTTCACATCTTCAATGAAACCTGCAAAAGGCACTGAAAACAGCTGAACCATTTTGGACATTGGAGAAACTACCCTACAACTTCTACTATAAGAATTAGCTACACAATTAGGGAAGTGTGAAGAAAGACTGTCTTAAGGAGTTGGTGAAAGCAGGAGACACGGCAGTGCAGACATTTATGGCACTTTTGAGGATGCAGACAGGCTGGGAAGAAGGGCAGAAAGATTTCTTTCAGCACTGTCTTGTGCATGCCTCCTCTTCAGGTGCAAATTCATAGTTACACCCATTTTTTTGGTATTGTGTATGTGCCTTGTTGCACAGATGATGCAACTGAAAGGCTGGCCCCTTAGCAGCCTCCATGGGTACATCACATGCCACTGTGACCACTGTAGTTGGCTGTGTTCACTTGTGGCTATGGATACACTTATCCTTATGTTTTTCCACAAAGTAAGATTGCATCAAAAGCCAGAGCTCACTCCTCTGGAAATATAGCTTTGGAGGGAAGAGAGATAAATGGTCATTTTTTTCTCCAAAATGGTTCATTTCACTCAATTTACAGTTTTGTAGAAACATATTCAAATTGGACAGCTGTCAATTAAAGTAGTATATGTTCTTGCCTGCAGGCTATGCTAATACTAAGGTACATCCACTCTGTATAAAAATGTTAATGTATTTAAATGTGGCAGAAAGGAAATAATTAAATTAATTCCATCTATGTTCTGTGGAGGTGCCATATTGATGCCCAGTGTGACAAAAACCCCAAACTAAATTTTCAGCCTTTATAACAAAATCCTAATTACTTTCAAGAACTGCTTTAATCTTCTTTTCTTTTTTATCCTTCACAGACAATAAGGCTAACGAAGTCTCATCTCAAGATTTTACCACCATGGCTTCAGAAGGTAGACTAAATTAGAGAACAAAATAACTTGGGTTGTGTGTGTCTATAAATTCCTAAAGCTGTTAGAATAATGGTTTTGCAAACTTGTTTCTGGATGGGTAGTAAAGTGCCCCTTTCTGCAGCTATGACTTCAGAGAAAATACAACCATTATTTTGGTGATGTAATCTATCATAATTAATCCCAATCATAATTAAACTCCAGCCTTGAGGGGTGCTTAATGTTATTTCAGCTGGCATCTGAATATAGCTTTTTCAGCACTGAACTGATAATTAAAAATAACAGCCCCGCTAATGGTTCTACCTTCTGTTTAAGTACACAGCCAAGTTCCTCAGTGCTTTTGCCTAATTAAAGATTCTTAATTTGTGTAAATTTGTTAAATTCACACTCTGTCCCTGCAAGTCTGCCTTGTTACTAGCTTGTTGGAGAGAGATAAATCGTTCCTTCCACACCTCAGCTTTTGGAGAGGCGTTTCCCAGAGTGGCTTGCTCTGCTTTGCCACCTGCATTCCAGCAGTGGGTTACATGAGTGTGTCAGAGGAACACTGTAGACAAATAGCATGCAAAGAACTGTGGGTTTCAATGTAAGCTTGCTTCTGCGAGTGGTAGGCCCTGGGGGTTCAGCCAATATCCTACTTACACTAAGATCCTACCTGCAGGGGGTTGCTCCCCACCTGACATGCCTGACCAGGTAGAGATACTTTCTGGCTGCATTCTCAGATATGTTTTTCTAATGGGGTGCACAAATCACCTCCTTCATGGAGCCCTTTGAGAGGATTTAATCCTTCCTCCTAACCTACTCAGGGTGTACTTTGTTTCAACTCCTGGGGAAAAAAAAACCCAACACATAACAAAACAAAACAAAAAAAAACCCCAACCAAACAAAAAAAAAACAACAAAACAAAACAAAAAAGTGAGACATCTCTTACTCTTGCTTGGGCAGGACAGTGTCTCTGCTGTGCTTGGCTGGCTGGTTAACAGTCCTTTAATTACAGGGAATAACTCCTGCTCCTCGTCTCTGAGGACTCAGTGAACTTTTTTCAGTGTAAATTGTCCCTGAAATTTCCTATCGGAGTTGCAGTCTCCAAAGTGTCTCATGGATGGAGCTATGCAAGTGCCACCACCAGGTCATTTATGGTACTTCAACATAGATGCTGATAAAGTGAATCTGTGTAGGACAAAGCCACGTAACTCACTCCTGGTTTTTGTGTTGAGGTGCCAGGTGCTCCAAAACCTTTTCCCCCTATACCTTTGTTTCCCTAGGGATTTCACAGCACCCTTAACTTAGTTGCTTCGTGCTTTTGTTGGACCCCTTGGCTGAGTTATGCATTGACAGATTATTTGGAAATTGTGTGACGCACTATCTCACGCTTGAACTTTTGACTCACCCACTTTTCTAAAGCAAAATTAACACCTTTCTCATCCAAAGTAAAAGTGTCTCCTTTGATTTGTTTCAGACCTTGGAAATTCATCACTTCCATCAACTGTCATGACTACCTCAGGTAATGGGGGAAAAAAGTGCCTTCTTTATTGTTTAGTCAATATATGTAGGATCTCTCCTTGACCATTGTATAAATACAAAGTACCCAGAACCAGAAGTGTACCTGGGAAAGGTCAGTGTGCTCTGGTGCTTATGGTACCCGTGTGCTGCTAGATGGGAATTTTTGAGCTGTGAAGTTACCCAAAAAGAGATGTGACACAAATCCTGCTAGAATTGTCATGTTAGTACAACATGTAAAATATCATGCTGAATACCATTAGTACACATTTTTATGAAATGGAATAAAAAAACCCCATACAACTATGTATAAATTTGTCCCATTATGACAGAGAGGTGCGTATGATAGAAAAGTTAAAACCACTGCTTTGCCTTGATCCAATAGTATCCCATCATTCCCATTTGTTAATGGTATAAGACAATGTCACTGTTTGACTCAGGTCCGACAACAATGCTCTGGATCCCCTCCCCCTCCCACCCAGGTAGGGAAGGAGAGAGAGAAAAAGACAGAGACTTGGCTGGATTGAAAACTAAACTACACAGCTTTAATTAAACACTAATTATATAAGAAAATATATACAATTATATACAAATATGTTCAGGAAATGAACAGAAACCCTAATGCCTCCCCTCACCCCCCGCAACTCCCACATCACTCCCTGGAGCTGGGAACAGTCCCAAAAAATCCCAGACTGCTGCTGGAGAAAGCACAGAGTGATGAGGGTCAGGAGAGCTGGAGCCTGAGGATTGACGGTGATGGATGGACGGAGTCCTCCCCGGACGCCAGCCATGGACAGAAGAGAAGGAAAGAAAAAGAAGGAAGGAAGTTGTCTTCTGTGATCTCTGACCTTCCTCTGAGCTTACACAGATATATGGAATGGAATATCTTTGGCCAATTTTGCTGTCTGTCTAACTCAGCCTCCTACGGGGGGGTCACAGATCTCCCTGTAGTGTCTGAGCCGGCAGAGTGAAGGTGCGACCTTGAAGCCTCAGTAGTTAGAAAAACATTCCAGTGTCTTATCACCTCTAGCTAGGACACATTGTTGTTAGTTAAAAGAAAGCTTACTGAAGGAAAAAAAAGTCAGTAAAAGGAAAATTGGCTTCATCCTGGCTCAAACCAGGACAGATAAATAACAGCACTCTACCTGAGTATGCCTATGGATAACTACATAAAATTAACATCAGCAACTGAGAGGAAAATCCCAAAGTGTAGGTGATCTCCTGGGCTTATATGGCTGTCACATATTGACAGGACCATTTCTGGCAAGACGCTTGCGAGGCAGTGGAGCGTGACCATCAAGTGCATCATCTGCCCCACAATAGTTAAACTGAGCCCTGTGCATGAAACATAAACAAATAATGCACAAGGATACCTCCTATGGAAAGATCAGCATGAATCACGTTAGCTGTCTCTGAGTGCTCTTTGATCTTTTGGGGTGTATTTTGAACATTCAACCCTAACTACAACAGCAGGATTCCTCCTGCAGAATCTGCATTTACCTAACAGCTACTGCAAGCTCTTTGATCCAGGCTGTTTCATGAGTTATTAATATTATTTTTAAAAGACCCCATTGACTGAATGTGATGCCATGTAATCTGTTTGTCTTTAGAGCACCAGTCAACATTTTTGTCCTCTCTGGATTTCACAAGAAAAGAAAGCTGGCCTCCTGCTTCCACGACACAAGGTAATAAAATAAACCAGAATGTTTTCTCTATCACTTCAAGAATGTAGGAGAAAGATACATGCACACTATAACCATTGTAGGAAACACTTCAATGTCCACTGAAGCCCGTTTCCTAGAGCATTATACAGTAGGAGGTCCATAGTTCAAAAATATGTGATAAAATGCTCTTTTTATTTTATCCTTTATAGTCCTTCATTCAAGATTTAGGCATTAATTTCAGAAAGTCAACAGACATGGAGTATATATTTTTACAGTACTTATTTTTTGTATCTCTTTAATTAAATATCATACAAAAATATAATTACATTAAAGATAGCAAAAGTGCAAGCCAAATATTGGAGCATGGGAGTACAAATACAACTCACAGATGAAAAAATGTCTACAGCAGATGACTCAACTCAATTATTTCTTCTCCAAGCTGGTGACGCTGAGGCCAGTGGAGGGCAGGGTACCTCAGTTGGAAAGGTTTATCTCACTTCCCGGGGGAGAGGTACATGCACCAGCAGTGAGCATGGACTAAACAGCACAGCAGCAGCCTGAATCAAGAGCAGGTGAAGCTGTGAACCTCCTGCCTTCTTGTCCCAAAATAAAGAGTTGATGCCTGCCAGTCCCAGCAGAGTGCATTTTCTCACAACACAGACTGTCTGCAAACACTTTGTTCTTTAAAGTCTCTTTCCATTTTTGAAGCCCTGCTGTCGATCCCTGCAGGACTGGCTGGCTTTACACAGCAGCTAGAAGGGTGCTGGGGCTGCCCTCAATGCCAGCAAGGTGTGTGCTCACTGCCATGTGGCATGAATAAACACCAGCACGGCACACGCTCCCATTTTGCACCCAAAACCGCACATGCGAAACGGCAGCATGGGCAGCTCAAGGAAGAAGGAGTCAAACATCATCTTCTCTCCCATAGAAGCAACAAAGCTTTGGCTCAGAAATGATCCACCACTGAGGCAGCAGCAGGCAAGAGTAGATTTGGCCCTTGGTATTTGCAGCAGCCTCCTTCTCCTAAACAAACAAGCAAAGAAAATTATTGAAATAGCCTAACTTTCACAAGCCTGTGGGGTATTAAACATCCTCCTTAAGCCATGTTACTCAATCCTGCAGCCTTCCCTTGAAGTAAGCTACACTATGCTACAGCAATATTTACCCAGAGATGAGCAAGTAATGTGATGGGCAGTGTGTGGGGCAACACTGGAGGAAGACACTGAAGACAAAGCTTCGTCCAGCCCCAGTAGACTGCTGTTTGGAAGCTTAGTCACTCAGTGTAAAGCCACGGGGCATGAAGCTAGATTGAGACATGCCAAGGCAGGAACACAGATTGCTTTGGCAATGACACAAAAGATTTCTCCTTCTCACACTGCCTTCCCCATCCCCACAGTAGAGACACTTGCCCAGCCTTGCTGAGAGTGGGCAGCAAAGCACTTGTTCAAGTGGACTGAGAACACTTCTGTCTCAACAAACAATTCCATGACAAAAGCTATAAATATACAGTGTGAACAGAGAGTACTTCTTCTTCACTGGCTAAGGAGGTATGAGGTCAAAGTCATAGTGTAAGTCAGAGCTGAGCCATTTCTCTTCCGTAAATCACCCAGGAAACAACTGCCTTTCAACCAGTGCCTCTGACATGTGGCAGTCGTGGTGTGCTGGCCATGGGTTAGCACTTCTCTTCCCCGGCTCGCTGCTGGTTCCTGCACTGGTGTCACCACCAGCTTCTTGAGCAGACCATTAGGGCTGCAGCTTAGTCAGGATGCTGAGTCCAAGACTGCCATTGTAAAAAGGGCTTTGGTTCACTTCCTGGTATTTTGAAAATTTTTCATGAAAAATCAAGACACAGCTGGGAGTTTATATGAGGTAAGAATGCACAGATAGAGGAAGGAGAAGGAGGAGGGGAAACAAAACTAAGGCTATTAAATCCACAGCCTGGTTTTTACTTAGCTTCCGTGATAGCTCCATCTTTGAGCCCAGAGATGTTCAGGCTTTGAGTGCTGGGTTACGGCTGCACTTTACCTTCTCAGGTTTGTTCAGGTGGCTTGGTGATACTTTTCTAAAACGAGACAGATATTAGGAAATATGTACTCCTTGTAGTAAATGTGAAATAGTCCTCTTGGGAACATAGAGTTCTACTTGTTAAGCACCATCTTTCTGTGATTGAATGTCACATAAATAACTAGTTGAGCTCTAAAATACACTTAACTTAAAAAAATATATATATATTAAAGGAAAAGTATAAATAAGTTGGGATTTGGCAGCAGGTATCACAAGAGTGTCTCCTGTACATTTACTTCCTAAAAACTTCTCCTTGCTAGCTGGGAAAAGGGTTCCGTCTTATTGGAGCTGGTGGTACCCGGTGTAAATTGTGATCTATGTACGTTTGTTCATTGCTCTACTGTCAAAACAACCCAGTGCATTCAGAAAACACTGAGTTTCAGCTGAAACTTAGCTGAAGTAAAAATGTGTGCTTAAATTCCCCATATGTTCTCTCAAAGTTTATTCATCAATCTCATCAAATTCCTCTTGAGTTTCTAGGTTGTGATAAACACAGATCTGTGTGGCGCTTTTCAGAGGAAAGCCAGCAAGTCAAGAGCAGGCTACAAATATTTGATGTCATCAGTCAGGAAACAGAGAAGAAAAAGGGAAAAATACAAAAGGAAATTATATGATCCTCTGCAGCAGATTTTACAAGCGTGTGTGTTTTTTGGCAGGAGTGCTGATTTCTACTGCAGAGACAAAAAGCTCTACCAGCACCACAGCGTTCAATGAGAATTTGACAACAGCAGGTGAGCAGATGATGCGTCTCCTTTGCTTCAAAGGAAAGTAACAGGGAGTTAAAGAAGCCAATTACAGGTGCTGCAAAGTGCAAATGTGGCACTAATTTAGCAAGTGTTAGGCTGCAAATCTGCAGCAAATCTGGGTGGTGTAATCTGTACCGGCTTTTCAGTACTTCACAGGCACAACTCTTCTGCTGAGTTGCACTGAGTTAGAAGACTTGAGTCCTCCAAGTCATCATAGATCTGCAGCAGCAAAAGAAGAATGAAAAAAATTATTAGACATATTTAACTTAATAATATTAAAATTGAAAGGGTTGTTAGGCAAATGTAGTGATCACTGAGAGTAGTTCATAGATGAAATAAATTACTTGAGATGTTAAATAGAAGCACAGAGTAGCAATCAAATAATGAGATAATGTGGGGCAATAAAGGTTGGCTAATAGAACATTGAAATGTGGCCTCATTAAAGAACAATAAATCAATTAAGAAAAACCTAGGTGGACATTTTTTCACAAACCTTTTGCTTTAGCAAATCTCTGCTTAACAGCAGAAAACCAGAAGTTACTTTCCTTTTTTAACATCTTGGTTTGTCTTTGTGCTTTCCTAACAGGCAGAACCCATCAATGACATTTGCATATGTATGGTAGTCATCTTTTGGATGAAGTACAAATGTAGCAGCCACTTGCCATTTTCTGAATATATTTTTGGCAGCACTCCGCTGTTTATTTACCCACATATTGCCTGCAGCCATGCATTTGGACAGAAACCTTGTGGCAATTTCTAATGCTTCATGATCCTGCTCCTGTATGGCTTGCTGGTTGAAATTTTTGTGGAAAGTGTGCTGAATTGCACTACTATTTGCAGGAGGTACCATGCCTTGCACAGCTCATCAGCTTCCCTACAGCCATGCCCACCTAACCACCAGTTGAGAAACAGCCTCGAAGGGTTCTCAGTCCAGCAGCTGTGATTGAGGCCAATTTCAGAGTACACAGGAACCAATGCCAGTTCTACCATGCCAATCCTCATAGCATTAAACACCTAATAAGCAAGAAGAAAAGCAGAACTTAATTGAATTAATGTCCAAAAACCTCCATGAATTTTTAGTGACTGATTTTGGTAGGTATTTTTACTCATGTTTACACACATGTATATGCATGTATGTATACTTCTCAATTTCAGTCAGAACCAGCATCTCACAAGGAAAAGATTTTCCTGGTTCTGCCTAGGTACTCATTTACGTCAATTAAACAGTGCAAATTTTTTCTGGGATTTATAAATCAACAATTATCCTAGAGACTTTCAAGCTTTGATTTGATTTTGCTTGTTGTTTGAATCAGAGAAAAGCAAATGGTATAACATAGCCACAGTTGAGCCTAAAGAAACAATCACATACAGGCTTTTAAGATAATTGAAGGATATTATTTCTTTTTGTACAGATTTGAATGATTCCACCAGCAAATCCCCACAAAGCCTCAGGAACGCCACGCACTCCTCTGAGAATACAACCTTGGCCCATCGTAAGAGCTCTGGAAATGCTGTGCCATTGTCTAGCTGCCTATTTTAACTATTATTTCAGAAGAAGTGAACATGGAGATGTCTAGAAAAAACAGGAATCTATCCTTAGGCAGCACTGATCTTAAACATAGGTAGCTTAGCTGTATTAAGAAAGGCAAAATATCTGTCTACGAACAGATGCAAGATTATTTTTGTGGTTCAGACACAGTACTTGACAGAGGAGACTGAGGTTTCACTCAGTCACGGCAGAGACAGACTCTTTGTGTTGCTGCTAAGCCACTTAATATCTTTAGCTTTTTCATTACCATCAAAGAGGCAAATGGCTTATCCCTCTCCCAGACCGCTGTGCAGCTCAATGCTGGCTTGCTGGAAAATCTTAATGGGTGTTTTCCAGTAATCTTTCTGTCTATCTTCTAATATTCCTTAATTTGATAAAAGCACATTTTTTTGTCTAACATTGTGTGGTAGCAAAAAATGTAGGCATCTTACCAAGTGAATTTTGACACAGATTCTGGAATTTGATTTCCAGTCTTCAGAAGGGTGAATAATGGTGGCTTTAAAACACAAACTTCGTTTAAAAAACCTAAATAAGTTGCTAAAAATGTTCTGCACCCATATCTTTCTAGGTAACCTATCTTTCAGCATCACAGACCAGCCAATATCTGTTACCAGAGGGAAATATTTCCTTACTACCAGCAGTCTGCTCAATAGGACTGGTGAGACATTATCCTATCCTTTATCCTGTTCTTTCTGCATGCTATTGCAGTAAGAAAGCAAAGCAGAGAAGCAGAAAATCTGGAGCATAATGTGCATTTGACCAGGGAAGTTCAAAAAAGGATGTTTTAGTGTTGGCAGTGTGAAAAATAAGTAGGGTGGAAAGGAGGACTGGGACAGGCAGATGTTCCTGGCTGCTGCTGCTTCTCAGAGAAGTTCACAGGGGACAGAGAAAACTAGTGGTTTTCAGATGAAAGGCCTGCCAGGCTGTACCTGAATAATTTCATCATGTGAATTGGTGGGTGGTTGAACTCAGCCTGCAAATCCAGTCAGAGCAGAAGTGGGTTAAATCCACAAATCAGGGCTGCAATGCTCAGTCTGGGATCCTCAGCCTGCGAACCTGGCAGTCCAGTGTTGATCTGGGGCTGCATTGTCACCAGCACTGTGGGGGGGGGTGGGGGTGTGGGGGAGTTGCAAGCCACAGGCAGTAAGCCTGGATTTCCCTCCTTCCTGAGGACATCCGTCTGAGCTCTGTCTCAACCTGCAAAGGTTGGACCAGACGATCCTGGAGGTCCCTTCCCACCTGGCATTCTATGATTCTGTGATTCATGCGTCCTTTCCAGGTGGTGCGAGGGACGCAGAAGGACGTCGCTTCCCCTGGCCAACAGTGGTAGCCGTCCTGCTCCTCTTCTGCAGCTTCCTAATAGCTTTAGGTGTCAGGAAATGGTGTCAGTACCAGAAAGAGATGTAAGTACTTGGGAGGGGAACTACAGGGGCAGGAGGGGTGGCACAGAGGGCAACACGAACTCTAACCCAGCTGTTTGGATTGACGTGTTCTCATTTGAGATTATCCCATAGTGCTAGGCCTTTAAGCACATGATCTCTAATGACTTTTTTTTTTCCATACAGCAGTGGGAAGTGTGGAGTATTCTTAGTCCTTTCATCTGTTCCATGGGTTACCTACAAAATAAACTTTTTTTAAAAAGAGCTGTGGTGCATCTTCAGGCTGTGAGGGAAGAATACAAGTAATTTTATTTCCTCAAAGCCCCCTCTCTCGTTTTGCGTGGTTACTTGAGGACAGGTTTTAATGAAATTGTACTTCTTGGCCAACTCTATTGACGTTGTGAATAATATATGTGGAAGCAAGCTACCTGAAACTTAATCCCAGTCAAAGAAACATTGAGTTTGTAATCATTACCAAAGTTTAATTCGCTGCTTAAGCCCTCAGAGATCTACTGATGAAAGCAGTATCTAACTGCCAATTATTTTTTAATCTTACTAACTTTACTAAAATGTTTGAAAAATCATGGTGATAATGAATCACTTGCAGTTTCAGAAAACCCTTTTGAAACATGACTGCAAATCCTGTGTATCAAAGGTAAAAATGGGACTGTTTGGGGTTTTTTTTCACTGATTTGGTATGGGACCTGTCTTTATCTTGGCCTTTAAATGAAAAAAAAAAAAATAAAACAATTTACAAGTTTTTAAATATACCTCCAGAGAGCAAAAGATCTCTGAAAGGTTTGAATGGTTCACCAGGATCATACTCCATTCTTTTAAAGTATGAATAAACAAAAATTGTGAGGTGGAAACTACACAAGCCAAATTAATACCAGGAGGTGTGCTGGGGTTATAGAAGAGAAACAGGGAAGTTGCAGTATGTAAGAGCAAGTGTCAGGTGACCTTCTAATGACTTAGTGTCCACCTACCTCCTCGTGAACTTTTACAACAGTCTTTTACATGGTTTTTATGTGACATTTTGTTTTTTCTCTTCTGTTTCAGTATGAACAGACCTCCACCATTCAAGCCACCACCACCTCCAATAAAGTACACCTCCATGGTGGAGTCTGATGGGACTCCCCCATCCTGCCATGAACTGGAAAACCTATAACACCACCTACACCTCTCATGTACCACACAGAAGACTGACAGTTAAAAGCTTCTGTCTTTAAAACAGTGATTACAGGAGTTTGGTGTTAATGACCCATATTAAAATTCAGAGTGCCTAAATGACATTTATGTTGGAAGCTGAGCACTTCTGAGGACACTTACTTCATCCCATCTATCTCTATTTATGCATTACGTTAACACCATTGTGAGTGTCACCATGAGATTACATGTGCTTAATTTGAATTTTGAGATCAACAGGGAATTTGCTGTCTTGTTAATAGGAGCAGATTAACATATCACTCTGCCAGCCTGCCTGAAGAGCATTGAAGCTTTTTGTTTTACTGAGTATATAGACATGACAGCTCTGCCATGTGGACACCACAACTACATGGGAAATGTTGTTTTAACACAAGATTTTTGATACCTATGCGAGCAGTTCTTACAGTTATTATTTTTTACTATACAAATATTGACAAATATGACCTAGAGTGTCATTTCCTATCACTGTGAAACAAACAAACAAAAAAAAAATCAGCACCTTACATGGAAAGAAAATAGTCTGCATCTGTTGTCACTGTCTTGCAGCACAGGATCACAGGGAAGGACTGGTGAGGTGAAAGGGCACAGTGCAGGCCTGGTGGAAGTGTCCACCAAGAAGACTCAGTTGCTGTTGGTGAAGTCACAAGAAAGAATCAACTTTGGGCTCATGTACAAGCCACATGGGGACCAGAGACTTGAGGACTGAAGTCAAAAAGGACCCTAAAGATAACTGAAAGTGCCAGCCCTTTTGGAAGGGCTGTGCCTTTGAAACAGTAATTGCTGTCTTGTCTGTTTTTCTGGAATTGTATTTACGGTACATACGAAATAAAAAAAGGAATATAATAATTTTCTTCTCCTTTGGTTTTAATGAACTTCTATCATTTGCTGGCTTCACATTTTTCAAGACTGCAGAGGTAGTCTCCCAGGTAGCTTAAGCCTGTGGAAGGGACAGTCCAGTCTTACCCCTGTTCTGCCTGAGCTGAGTAAAAAAACCTTGTAGTGACACAAATTATTAAATGACCATTTGGGATCAGCCTGCTACACAGTTCTCAGCCAGTTCAGTAGCTGCACGATCACCAATGCAAGGCACAAGAGCTGCAGCAGGAACACTGCTGTTGGCAGCAGTGTGGTCTTTCATTGCTTTTAGCCAGCCAAGAAACTATCCCTCCGAGATTGTTCAACAATGTATGGTTACCATAATGGTATTTCTGTAATTAAGGCAAATCAACTAAAAGCCAATAAAATTAAGCTTAAAATTGGTATTCTGATTTAAAATGGGATCTGTTTTATTTACTGCTAAACACTGGTCGATGAGTATCAGGGTTCAGAGCACTGTATTTCCTGGGACTTTAGATGAATGAACGACTTACTGGAAAGAATGATCTGACAGACCTTTTTAAAGTATTTTGTTGCATTATTTACCTTATAGCATGAGCAGTTCTAAGTCCATCACTAAGGGAACATTTGGGCCAAACAGAAAACACATTCCTTCTTACAAACCTATACAAACTTTGAATGCATGGAAGCCTCAATTTTAATTTGAGTGTTTCTTGTCTGTATGAATACGCAGAAGCAAAGTAGTTTAACTTTTGACATACTACTGTACTATAAGCAACTTGAAAAGAAGACAGCTTTTTGCTCTTTAAAGATAAATCAAGGAAAAAATCTCAGGGAGGTTGTGGATGTGCTCTCCCTGGAAGTGTTCAAGGCCAGATTGGACAGGACTGGGAGCAACCTGGTCCAGTGGGAGGTGTCCCTGCCCATGCAGGGGGATTGGAACTAGATGATCTTTAAGGTCTCTTCCAACTTAAACTGGTCAATAATTCTACGGCTTTTTTTTTTTTTTTAGATGAAGATGACTGTGACATACCTGCTGAAGAGGGGCTGTTTTATCATTGCAGATATTTAAACCCCCACGGTTACTTCAGGTCAAAGATGCTCCTTCCGACGCTGAGGTGTTGCAGGGCGTCCCGGGAAGTGCTCTGCTTTGGCATCATTTCCACCTCTCCCTGAGCCAGGCTGCAGGGAAAGCTACCGACACCTCCGTCCCGCTCCCTCACACAGCCAATCCCGAGGGATGCTGCTGCTTCCACAAACCTGCAGCTGCACATCTCCAGGCGAATCCCGCCCGGCTGGGGAAGTTCCAGCGGGCACCGCAGCCGCGCTCCTTCCTCCGGCCAGGGAGCGGCACCGCAGGAGGGTGCCGGGGGGCGGCAGCGCCTCCCAGTGCAGACTGGGGCTGACTGGGACGAGGAAGGTGCCTGCCCGCCCCTGACATCTCCGGAGAGGGAGCAAGTGGAAGAGGGTGTCATCCATGTGGGACCTGGACGGAGAAAGAGAGAGGGGAAATCCCCACCTGCCAGCACCCACCTCACTGCCCCCTACCTCCCCCCCAACATCGTCTTTCTATTTTTCTGCAGCTAAATTGTGTGAGGACGTGGGCATGGAGCTGTTGGAGCAAGTCCAGAGAAGAGCCACAAAGCCTCAGAGGGCTGGAGCAGCTCTGCTATGAAAACAGGCTGAGAGAGTTGGGGCTGTTCAGCCTGGAGAAGGCTCTAGGGAGACCTTACAGCAGCCTTCCAGTACCTGAAGGGGCTACAGGGAAACTAGGGAGGGAGTTTTTACAAGGGCAAATAATGATAAGACAAGGGATAATGGTTCAAAACTGAAAGAGGGTAGGTTTAGGTTAGACATTAGAGAGAAATTCTTCAGTGTGAGGGTGGTGAGACACTGGAACAGGTTGCCCAGGGAAGTAAGTTGTGGATGTTCTCTCCCTGTCACTGTTCAAGGCCAGGTTGGATGGGGCTTTGAGCAACCTGGTCTAGTGGGAGGTGTCCCTGCCCTTGCAGTGGGGTTGGAACTAGATGATCTTTAAGGTCCCTTCCAACCCAAACCATTTTCATTCTATAATACTTCATATTTATTTTTTACTTCAGCTGCATCTCACCAGGATAAGTGTATAGTTAATCACAATCAAGTATTGTCATTAGGTTCAAAATCTACCCCAGCTTTAAATTAAAGAAAAAAACAAATCTCTCAAACCATTATTTTTTTGCATCAGCTCTGCCAATATGTAGGCTTTAATCATTCAGCTTGGATTTGGGTTCTGTCAACCCTGGAATAACCTGGTCCAGATTAAATTACCAAATGCTTGAAGATGGCTATGGGAGTGTTGGAGAAAAGCTTTTCCCTTAAAGTGTTCAAAGCTTGCTGTAGGTGTATAGAAAATATTTTTTTTAAGAGCCTTGAGTGTTACATTGCTAAATGTAATTCCGTGACACAATGAAACCAGTAAAGCAGACCAGTTCAGAATCTGAGGCCACATATAACACAAATGCAATATTGTAAAATTAGCTGGGTCTGCTGTGTATGGTCTTTAATGTGTGCGTTACACAGCTGTAAAAGTAACACACTGGAAAGCTGAGCAGCAAGGTGGTTTTTATGTACAGGTGGTTTTCGTCTGCTTCTGAGCAGAGAGAAAATGTTGTTGGGGCAGGAAAAAAAAAAAGTATAAAAGCAATTTTGTTTTCTATGTATTTCCAGTAACTAATGTGTCTTGTGAAGTGAGTGGCAGAGCCTGGTGACTTCAGTGGAGCGACTAACTTATCCCAGTGCCCTGCAGTTTGTGTTCCTGCTGTTTGCTTGTGGGTGGTGCTGGGCCTGGCTAACAGGGGCCAGAGAGAAGGCTGCCAGCCTTGGCCCGTGCTGTACGTGGGGCAGGCAGGCATCCTCGGTCTCTTCCTGGTTTCCACCTCTCTGAGTTTAGAGGAAGCCCTGCTCCCAGCGTACCCGAATGCCATCCCGCTGAACCTTAATCCTACTGCATTACCTTTTGCCTCACTCTGAATCATGTGTCCTTTTTAAACAGCACGAGAGTGTTTTTTCTTACAAGGCACATTTTGCTCCTGTAAACTAATAAAGCTTGGCTTGTTTATTTAAGAAGCACTCTATAGTCTGCAGGGTGTGCTCCAGTTATTGCAGTGTAGGTGGCAGTGTGGTGGTGCCTGGAAGCAGGCAGTGGAAGAGCAAGGGCTGCGTAGCCATCCCAGAGCTGGACTTATTAATTAGCAGTTGCTGATAATAAGCTTTGCTGCCTGGGATTTTCTGGGGAAACAGCCCATCTTAATATGGATCCACAGAGTTTTCTCTTTTAACTAAATGTTTTCCTCTTTGCAGCTCTGTTGATAGCCTTGTGAAGTGCTGTGGCTTCATTTTAATGTAGTTTCCTTTGTTTTCAAAAGCTGTGTACAGAAATTATACCTGCTAACCAGAACAGGGTATTAGTTACCTTATGTAGTCTTTGCTGGATTTAAAGCCATTACTTATCAGAGAAGGTAAACATTAGAAAGATCTCTGTACAGTTAAACTCCAGGAGAAGCAGTATGTGATGGAGAAATTTTGGTTTATTTATTGTTGATGTTAGTAGGCAATTCTTCCTGACTCTGCAATTAACTTTGATCAATAAGCCAATGGAAAGCTTCTAAAAAGCTCTGCAGAGGGATAACAATTATTTAATCCTGTCTAAGGAGATTTTATTAGAAACTATATTAAATCATATTATATTTAAAATGCTTCCTCAAGGACAACACAGAGCTCAGGGAAGTCCCCAGCAAAGATTATTTGATTCTGGGGAACATCAGATTATGTCTTTAAAACTCCACTTCCATCTGCTTTCTAGCATATGATATTTCATCTCTTTCCTTTCAAAGTCTTCTATACCAGGTTGCCCCAGTAAGAATTTTAATCAGTGGGGGGAAAAAATAAATAAATGTATCTGTTTGCCCTCTGGTTCTTTTCCAAACATAAGCCCTTCCAAATTAACTCTGGCATCCTACGCAGCTTGAAACACCCTCATGTGGTGTAAATGAAGCATTGAATAGCTCGCTGTTGTCAAACAGACAACTCGCAGATGCCAGGGCTTGGCTTAAAGAAACCAGCGAACAAAGGCGAGAGAGAGAAGCA